TCTCATGGGAGAATGAGTGGAGGGCAAATAACCAAAATAGAATCCAGCTATAAATCCAACAATCCACTAATCCTGTAATTTCTTTTCTACAAGAGCCAATTCTCAGCCTCAGCTGATAGTTTTCTTGGACTATTTACGTCCTTATCACCTTATAAAGTTTGAAATAAATTACCTGGCTTTTGAGTAGTTAATCCAATTATGAACCTTAGTCAATTAGCATTTCCCAACAATTTTTGAAAAGCATTAATAGTTTGTAATTGATCTCTCCTGATTTGTATATTCTGTGGTTGAATTTTCTGTAGATCTATCTTATATCCTGGAATAAATAGACTATTCTTTTTTTCAGGAGCAATTTGTAATCTCCAGTAAGGTATAATTCTCTTTACTTCAACAAATATTTTTTCATAAGGTATCTGCATCTGAATCAGCCAGTAAGATATCATTCGTATAATGCCAAATTTTAGATTGAAAAAAGTGCTTAAAATTGTTTTTAATGACTATTGTACAAAATATTTGGACAAGGTAGGACTGCTTAACATTCCTTGTGGTAAAAACTTTCCAATGACATCTGTTTATTGGACAACTATTAGTAGTAGTAGGTACAGAGAAAGCAAACTTTTCCCTAAAATGCTTGTGCAAAAGGATTGTAAGAAGCAATCTTTTAAAATAATTACTATCAAAGGCCATGACATATGTAATAAAAAGGCAGTGGGATTCCAGGCTGTAAAGAGCCCATTGATTGAATCATCTCATTTATGTCGATTAAATCTGTTAACATCTTCCATTTTTCTGAACTTTTTAAAAATAACAAACAGGAAAATCTATGGACTGGCAGATTTTTCAATGTGTTGAGTATTTAGCTGCTTCTGTACTACCTATCCTAGTACCTCCAATTTTTCTGATGCCAAAGGATGCACAGGTTTGTCTCTTAACCATTTTAAAGATAGAGTAATTGGTAACTTTGAAAGACCAATGCCTGTCATGTCCCGCTCATGGACAAGCTGGACAGTCTCTGACTGTTCTTGATAATGCTTTTCGATATTTTTTTTCAGAAGCATGCTTTACTTTATGGTTTGTTTCTGAGATTAGGAGAATGTTAATCTATTTTTGATTGCTGCACCAAAATCATGCCCCAATGAACTCATAGCTATATTAGTCACATATGGCTTTAATTTTCTTATTTGTCCTTCTGACCTATACATGTTTGCACTTTGTTTTACTTGAGATAAAGTTCCAGAAGCTGAATATATACCTTCTAAAGAGGCCAATCTGCATATCAAGATTTTGGTGAAATTATTATTACATTTGCTTTTGTGTCTACTAAACCTCCAATTTCAACATCATTTATTTGTAAATGTAGCTTTGGTCTCTGATCATTTATCATAGTTTGCCAAAATACTTGTTTTTTGGTTTCTCTTGAATTTTTTTGTTTCATCTACTGAAGCTGATCTGTTGTCAGTTATATCCAGAGCAGTGTTGTTTTAACAACAGGGATTAAATCTTTTGATTGTTCTGTGAATGAGTTACTCTAATAGTGACAGGGAATGATTGAATCAAATTTAATATCAAGTCCTTTGGGAGGCCCTCTGGGCATTTCCTAATGACAGGCATTTCCTTGTCTGTTCCTTGTTGATCTGCATTTATTAGTTCAAAGCAGGCATTTGCCACACCACATCTTATGCATACTCTGGAAGTCTGTGGCCTTCTTTTTGTATTATCTCTGGAAAAAACATTGTTTCTCAGAATTCCTTACCTCCAACCCTCTTTCTAATTATCTTGCTTAGTACAATTAAAACATCTGTTATTTTGATTTTCTTAAAACTTCTAGAGGTACATTGTTAAAAATTTTACAAAAAGATTTTTTAAAAACTAGAAATGACTTCTTTTGGAGAGATCAGGGATAAAAGGCACATTCCTAAACATAATAGAACAACCATTCAGCAAGCCCATAGCCAACATCAAATTAAATGGAGAGAAACTTAAAGCAATTTCTTGAAAATCATGGTAATACAAAGCTGCCCACTCTATCTGTTCAATATAGACCTTGAAGTTTTAGCTAGAGCCATAAGACAACTAAAGGAGATCAAAGAATGCAAGTTGGATAAAAAGAAGTCCAATTATTGCTATTAGTAGATGATATGATAGTATATATAAACAACCCCAAAAATTTTACCAGAGAACTCCAACAGCTGATAAACACCTTCAGCAATGTGGCCAAATAAAAATTAACTAAAAAAAAAAAAAAAACAGTAGTCCTACTGAAATGTTTTGTAAAATGCAGTTTGATACAGCAGTACCTGTCTATGATAGGTCTAGGTCTAGTGTAAAATGAAGTTTATTTTGGGGCATGAGAAAGGGATTTGAGAAAGAGTAGAGGCAGAGAAAGAAAGAGGGGTCTAAGAAGAACAGAGAGAAAGAGAGAGAGAGAGAGGAGAGAGAGAGAGAGAGAGAGGGGAGAGAGAAAAAGAAGGGGAAAGGCCAGCTGGGAATACCTGGTAAGACAGAGAAGGGGAGAGGAGAAAACAAAAAGGGAGAGAGAGAGAGAGAGAGAGAGAGAGAGAGAGAGAGAGAGAGAGGGAGAGAGAGAGAGAGATGATAGATAGAAAGAGAGGTGAGATATGAGATGAGGGGAGAGAGAGAAAGAGAGAGAAAAGAGAGAGGGAGAGAGAGATAGAGAGATAGATAGATAGATAGATAGATAGAGATGATAGATAGATAGAAAGAGAGGTGAGATATGAGATGAGGAGAGAGAGAGAGAGAGAAGAGAGAGAGAGAGAGAGAGAGAGAGAGAGAGAGAGAGAGAGAGAGAATGAGAATATAGAGAGAAAGGGGCTTGGGGTGGGTCAGAGAGTGAGGGAGGCCAAACAGTCCTTTTATAGCAAGCCAGGCTCATACATGGCTGTTGCGAGGTAACTGTTGGAAAGAGAGTAGAAGAAATACTAACAGTTACTATATATAAATGATAAATGGGCTGAGAAAGAAATCAGGGAAACAACACCGTTAGCAATAGCCACAAATAACAAATAATGTAAAATATCTTCTTGTAACCCTAACCAAGCAAGTAAAAGACCTGTATGACAAATACTTAGACTTTAAAATAAGAAATTTAAGAAGATATCAGAAGATAAAAAGATCTTCCATGCTCATGGATCCATGGGCTTAACAGTACAAATTGCCTTCCTACCAAAATCTGCAGATTCAATGCAATTCTCATAAAAATTCCAACAAAATCATTACAGGCCTTGAAAGAACAATACTCATCTTCATAGGGAAAAATAACAACAGCAACAACAACAACACGAAATACAACTAAAACAATACTCTACAATGAGAGAACTTCCAAAGTTATTACCATTACTGATTCCAAGCAGTATTATAGAACAATGTTATAAAACTACACACCCATGGACACTTGATTTTTGACAAAGGAGACAAAATTACACAGTCAAATAAAGACAGCATCTTTGACACATGGTGTTGGTTCAACTGGACATCTGTAAACAGATCCATACCTACCACCCTGCACAAAAGTAAAGTTAAAGGGGATCCAAAATTTCAATATAAAACCAGATACACTAAACATGATAGAAGAGAAATTGAGGAATAGCCTTGAATGGAGCTTGGTGTTCATGTAACAGCAGGAACCACTGCTGTCTGCCTTTGGAACCATTTCCCTCTGTTGGGCTGCTTTGTCTATCCTCAGTTGGAGTAGATGGACCTAGTCTTACTACAATTTGATGTGCTAATGCTGGCTGATATCTGTGAGAGGCCTCCCCTTTTCTGAGGAGAAAGGGTGGAGGAGTACATGGGGGGTGGGGTGAGGACTCAGAGGAGAGGAAGGAGGGAAATGTAAATTAAGTAAATGAATTAATTAAAAGAATTATCTTCCAAAGTACTTTTATTGTGTTTTCTTCTTCATTGAATTTTCAATTTAGATAATTAATCCTTACTGAAAACTTGATTCCTATAGGGCATACAAGTGCATGCTAAGAAAAATTTCCTCTTCCTCTGATAAGAAACTTTTTATCTTTAGTTATTTGTAGTATTACCTATGATCTTCATTGTGAGGCAAGTCATATATTAATTATTCTGAAATATTCTCAACTTTGACTTTTATGAAGTCAAACACTAGTGGGCACAATGTGCATGTGCACTCTCGCGCATGTACACACACACAAACACACACACATTATTGTCAAATCATCATCTGGGTGGCATATCTGTGAGCAAACCTATCAGGGATTTTCCAGATTAAAGTTGTTGTCTGAGAATGTCTTTGGGGAATGATCTTGAGTACATTAACTGAAGTGGGAAGACCTACCCACAGTAGATAGCATCATTCCTTAGACTAGAAATTTGGAGCTAGTATCCTGCCCTTGGCCTTGTCTTCTGACGGATTATATAACAGGAGTAGCTGTTTAAGCTCCTGATGCATTTACTTCTTTGCCATGTTCAGATGTGACCTGGAACAGTGAGCTAAGATAAACATAAAACCAGTGTCTGTGCATCGGGTAGAAGCTGAATTTATATCAATATACAAGTCTTTAGGATTTGCAGCTCTCCAAATGATGATTTATTAAAGGATCATTTCACGGATTGGATTTCAGAGACAGAATGAAAGCCTCCAAGAACTTCCAATTGCTCTGCTCTTCAGTAATATTTTGCTTTATTTTTAGTTTGCAAAGACATGCTAATCTTACTGAAATTTGACAAAAATATAGTTCTCTTTTAATGCAGATTTTATTTTTTCTATGTTTTCCTTGATACTTTTGTTTCAAAACAATATACTATTACAAATTTTATGTTCTTTTCTAGAATATATATCTCAATTAAAACCAGTTGAAATATATAAGAAGACACGATCTTTCTATTTTTGCATGGTATTCACCCTTTTTTCAATGTTGAAAATAGATTCTTTTTTCATATATCATGACCAGTTTTCCCACCTTCCACCCTGTTTCTCTGTCTCCAAGATCCATTCTTCCTCTTTTTCTTTTCAGGAAAGAGCATGCTGCCAAGGGACAACAACCAAATAGAACAAATCAGGAAACTATTGAGGCTGGACAAGGAGAACAATAGACGGAAAAAGAACCTCAAGAGCATGCAGAAGTGTCAAAGACACAGCAGCTCCCACTGTTAAGAATCCCACAGAAACACCAAACTAATACCCATAATATATACACAGAGGACCTAGTGCAGAACCAGATAGACCCAGTGCTTGCTCCTTTAAGTTTCTGTAAGCTATGATTAGCTGATTCTATAGGCCATGTTCTTCTGGTGTCTTCCATCCCCTACAATTTTTCTTTCTCCTTTTCCATGGGGTTCCATGGACTCTGAAGTGAGGGACCAGATAGAGAGCTCCAATTCAGACTCACTGTCTATACGATGTATGGGTCTCTGTATCTACTCCCACCTGCTGCCCAAAGAAGCCTCTCTGATAACACCTAGACAAGTCACCAAAGTACAGCAGATTATGATTAGGATAATCTCATATGATGCATATATGTTTATAATATATAAATTATATATGTACTGACTCTCTCTCTCTCTCTCTCTCTCTCTCTCTCTCTCTCTGTGTGTGTGTGTGTGTGTGTGTGTGTGTGTGTATAATTTGCTAGGCCTTTTTGGTTGTATCTTATGTCTCTGAGCTATCTAGTTTCCTTGCTATCCTAGGCAGTGTAGGGCATGGGCTACAAGTTAAACCAGATAATGATTGGCCACTATCACCAGTTTTGGGTCACCATTTACCCAGCACATCTTGCAAGCAGGGCAGATTGTAGCCCAATGGCTGGGTTAGTGTACAGGTTTTTTTTTTTTTTTTCTGCAGAATATCTTCCTGCACCAAAGAGACTAATGCATAGGAGTGATGACTCCATGCAGGCACCAGCGGAACCTCTTTACTTTCAATGAGCTCAATGTAAGTTGTTCTTGGAAATAAGCCCACACTGTGAGTTTTTGGAAAGGACACTTTTCTAGCATCATTTTGGGTTGTTAATGGATCTCAATAGGGCCCCTTCACCTAACAACTCAACCTAATGCAACCCGGTCCTGATACTGGAAGCCTTGCTTGGTGAAAAAAGATGGTCAATTGAGACTCTGTATCATCCATCATCCATTACTAGGATTCCTCACTAGGGTCACCCTCATACATTCCAGAAAGTTTACTGTACTAGGTTTCCATACAGCCTGCCAAATCTCCCCCGCCCCATTTCCAGATACCTCTCTTTATACTCTATCCTTCAACCTCTCCTCCACTACCTGATCCTTTCTGCTTTGTTTTCCACCCCACTTCAACAATCTACCCACAAAATCTATTCTATTTATCCTTGTCTGGGAGATCCATGTTTCTCCTCTAGAGCTCCCTTCTTTATGTAACCTCCTTGGGTCTGTGGATTATACCTTTATTATCATTTATGTAAAAGTTAATATCCACTTATAAGTGAACACATGCTCTATTTTTCTTTCTAGGTTTGGGTTACCTCACTCAGGATAAAGTTTTCTAGATGTATCCATTTGTCTGCAAACTTCATGATGTCATTGTTTTTAAAAGCTATGTAATATTCCATTGTGCCAGAAGCCAGGACCCTCGCCCTTACCCTCACCCCCTACCTTTCCCCACCTGTACAATGTCGCCTGCAGCTTGTCAAACGCAAGATCCTGCCTGGCAGCCGCAGATAGAGTCAAAGCAGTGTACCATATCTTCTGAAGAATAGCAGGTAGATCATAATTCAAGGCAGTGTACCGTATAGACCATGACATGTTTCAAGGCACAGGCCAAGAAGATTCTGTACTTTTCTACCACCTGGCCCCTCTTACCCCCTCCCCTTGTAAAGTATACTATAAAAAAGCATTTCATGTTCAAATACATGACTCTTGACAAGCCAATGTTTGCTTGAGTCCTTTCCCTCTCTCGCCCGTTCTTCTTTCAGGTTGCAGTCCTCCTTGCCCCACGAATAACTAGGACCCACTGGTTGGGTCACCATTGTATAAGTTTCCTTTATCCATTCTTTTGTTGAGGAATATCTAGGTTGTTTGCAGTTTCTGGTTCTTATGAATAAATCTATGAATATAGTTGAGCAAGTGTTGCTGTTGTAGGATGGAGTATCCTTTGGGTACATTTCCAAGAGTGATATAGCTGAGTCTTGAGGTAGATGGATTCCCAATTTTCTAGGATCCACCATATTGATTTCCATAATAGCTATATGTATTAGACAGGGCTCTCTAGAGTCACAGAGCTTATAGGTAGTCTTATAGGTAAGGGAATTCATTGATGACTTACAGTGTGTAGTCCAACTGCCCCAAAATGGTCAGCTGCTTCTGTGAATGGAAGTCCAAGGATCAAGCAGTTGCTCAGTCCCACAAGGCAAGCAGGAGAAGAGGAGAGAATCTTCCTTCTTCCAATGTCCTTATGTAGGTCTCTAGCAGAAGGTGTGGACCAGAATAAAGGTGTGTGCTACCATGCCTGGATCTGGGACTTGCTTTGTCCCAGATGACCTTGAACTCAGAGATCTCTTTACCTTAGTCTCCTGGAAGTCATAGCCACTATGCCTCAAGATCTCCATGCCAAGATCCAGGTCAGAAAACTTGTATCTCCCAGCCTCTAGATCAGGATCACATGTAAGCCTTCCAATTCTGGATTGTAGTTCATTCCAGATACAGTCAAGTTGACAACCAGGAATAGCCACTATACTATACCAATTTGCACTCCCATGAGCAATGGAGGAGTATTTCCTTGCTCCATATCCTCACCAGGATAAGCTGTCACTTGTGTTACTGATTTTAGCTATCTGACAGCTTAGGATGGAATCTCAAAGTAGTTCTGATTTGCATTTCCCTAATGGCTAAGGATGTCAAACATTTCTTTCAGTGTTTATCAGTCATTTGAGATTCCTCTATTGAGAATTCTTAGTTTGTATCTGTATCCTAGTTTTAGTTGGATTGTGTGGTTTGTCGATATATAGTTTTTTGAATTCTTTATATATTTTGAATATTAGCCACCTATTAGATATGATACAAATTTTTCCATTTGGTAGGTTGCTATTTTATTTATTGATGTTGTCTGTGCCTTACACAAGTTTTTCAGTTTCATGAGATCACCTATATTATTTGTTGATCTTAGTGCCTGTGCTATGTGTGTTCTGTTCAGGAAGTTGTCTCCAGTTCCAATGTGTTTAAAGCCATTTCTCACTTTCACTTCTATCAGATTTAATGTGTCTACTTTAATATTGAGGTCTTTAATCTACTTGGATTTAGGTTTTGTTCAAGGTGATGAATATAAAGCTATTTTCAGTTTTCTACATGCAGACATCCAGCTTAACAAGCCCCTTTTGTTGAATATGCTTTGTTTTTTTTCCCCTCAGTATTTCTGGCTTCCTTTTAAAAAACCAGGTGTCCATACATGTATGAATTTATGTCTGTGTCATATCAATTTCATTCCATCAATCAACATGTCTGTTTTTATGCCAATATGGTCTGGTTTTGAGTATCCAAACTCTGTAGTACAACTAGAAATCAGAAATACCAGAAATTGTGATATGTCGGGCAGTGCTTGCGCCTAGGGATCGCTGGCTGACGGACCCGACACAGACGGGGTCGGCGGTGGATGGCGTCAGCTCCAGGCCGGGCCAGCGGGGTGTGGGCCAGCAGACTCCGGGGTCCGGGGCACGGAAGGAGCCGGCCAGGCTAGCCCAGGGCCTTCGGCAGGCGGCAGTGCAGGGCTCGTGCTCCAGGGCGGCCTCTGGTCGCAGGAAAACCCCAGAGGCGGGGGCGGCGGTGAAGGAGAGCACAACCGTGAACCAAGGCACAGCTCAAACACGCTGTTCAGTCGCGTGGAGCGGGACCTCCGTCCCAGTCCCCAAAAGCGAGAAAGTGTTATTCGCTCTTTTAGTTCTCTCCTTCTGGGAGTAGCTCGTGAGAGCCTACGGAAGAAAGGTGTTTCAGCCCCTTCAGCTCAGCTCTCGCTCTTCCCACTGGGGAGAGAGGAGAGAGTTGTCCTTTGAAATGCGCGACTGGCCCTGCAAGGGATCGCAAAAGTACTCCGACAGCAGGAGACCTTGCACCACACAGCAGTCGACCTTTAATTTGGGCTCTGGAGTTATATATATATACAGTTTCGGGGAAAGAACAGGTAGCCCCTATTGGTTTGGCTTGAGGGTTTGGGGATGCCTTATTTGCATGGAGGTGTTATCCTACGTGATAAGGGTCATGGGTCTCTTTGTGGGAAGCAGAAGCTAAGAGGGCCATATCGCGTGGGAAATCTGAAGCAACCTTCCGTCCTGTGACCCTTCTCAGGCCGAGGTCTCTGGGGCTTCGAAGATTTCTACCAAGCTTTCTGGCTTTCTCATAGCCCACTGCCCCACAATTCCTCCCTTTTCTTTTATAAAGGAGAGGTGTCATCAGAGTAAGTGTCCCCTATGTTGGGAACAGTTTGATATTGGACTAAGACTTGATTGGTGGTCACCTTTGCAATGTTACTCATTTGTTGCTTTAAAAATTGAATGAGGCAAGGTGCCAGGAGAAGTAGAGCTCCAATGGCTAGTACGGGGCCAAGGAGGGGAAGAATCCAAGCTATCAAGGGGTTAGAGTACCAAGGGGTAGGGGTGTTGGGAGTATAGCATGCCCGGAGGTTCCCCCAGAGTTCTTTGAGCGTTTGTACATCTTGTTCTACCAGCAAATGTGAAAAAAATTTAAAAAGGCTGCCACGTCGGTGCAAGCCCCGGAGGGGCTTCCACCACGGTGGCGGGTCCCACATTAGAGAAGAAGATCCTAAGGTTCCAGTGGCCTGAGGGCCTTGGCGGTGGCAGACCCCAGTAACACGAGGAAGTCCTTGGTTTCAAAAAGGTTTATTGTCATGGCGGATAATAGATGGATCTAGGCGTACCCCCCCAAAACTCAGGGCAGTCCCGAGGGAGGGAGAAAGGGGGAGGATTGGGGGAGGATCTGGGGGAGGAATTTTTAATTTGCTCTGCCCTCTGGCCTTCATTAGTATGTAAATCCCTAGGGCCTGAGGCCTATAGCCTGGCCTATGTGACTCTATGGAGATCTATGTGACTGCTTTTCAGGATCTTGGATGATGGGAGGGACCGAACTCCTGCCGGTTCTCATGCAGAATTCCACGGAGAATCTCGGGGTTCTAGGTACCTGCTCAACCATGACCCAGGATACTCTTATGCAGTCCCACAGTGATATCTCTGGACACTAATTTTCTTTTTTGATATAGGATTGTTTTGGTATCCTGGTTTGTTTGTTTTGCCCATATGAAGTTAAGAATTGTCCTTTTAAGATCTATAATGAACTCTACTGGAATTTTGATGGGGATTGCATTGAATGTGAGATTGTCTTTGGTAGGTTGGTCAGTTTTATTATGTAAATCTTATGGATCCATGAGTAGTATGAGATCTTTACATCTTCTGATACCTTCTCTGTAAGGAGCCGTTCTGCTGCTCCAGTCCATGGGTCAGGGAGCAAGAGAGAGAGAGTGGGGGACAGGGATGCAAAGAATGGAGACAGAGTCTGAGTCTGTCTGCTCTGTCTAGTCTGTCTGCCTGAGTCTGTCTGAGTCTGTCTCGGTCTAGTCTCTCTGTCTAGTCTAGTCTGTATGTTCTGAGTCTACCTGCTCTGAGTCCGTCTGTCTAGTCTGAGTCTGTCTGGAGACGAAGTCTGTCTGCTCTCTGCCTTTGACTGCCCCTTTTATATCTCTCCTGTGTCTCTCAAGTGCTGGGATTAAAGGCGTGTGCTACCACTGCCTGGCCTTGACCGAAAGGATCAAGATAATTATCAGAGTATGCTCAGCTGTTGTAGGCAGTTGAAAACAAGTCTCTTGTCAGGGTACATGGCTCAAGATGGCTGCAAAGATAATAGCCGCCCTCGGCTCAGAGTCAGCTCCAAACACTTCTCCAGTCTCCTTTTAGCAGACTTGAAGTTTTCACCATATAAGTCTTTCACATGCTTGGTTAGATTTACCCCCATGATATTTTATATTATTAAAGGCTATTGTGAAGGATGTTATTTCCATGATTTGACATTTGTTTTATTGATGACAAACATTCTGTGTGGAATGAGATATAATATCAAAGTTTTGATTTACACTTACCTGATAGCTATTGATATTGAATACTTTTAAAAATATTTGTTAACCATTTTTTCTTCTTCCTTTGAAAAACTTAAGTTATGTGTTAAGGTCTAGGTAGAAGGTTAAGGTCTATTGAATGTTACAGACCAGGTAGAACATTAAGGTAGCTGTTACCTGTGAGCCTGCCATTTTGAGCATTACTAAGAAAACTTTCTCATATGCTGTTATGGCTGTTACTAGCATGTTCTGTGCTTTGACGTTCTTGGAAACCAATGACAATAGAAGTCAATTAGAACTGTTTAGTATAGTCATCCCCAATAAGTCTGGACCTGAACCAACCACCAGGCAGCATTTCCTGAACTTGTGTATGAACTTTTCTGGTTTTTTATTTTATAAGCTACCCCTGGGATGAACTCCAACATAAGAGAGATACCTACACCAGTATAAGA